ACCTAAGAAAAAGCCAGGACCCTTGCACCTGCTCTACCCTTCTTGGCTGCATTTCACAAGTCTGTCTTGATGGCTTAACTCCAGTCCTTTGGTCTGAGTGGGGAGTGGTGGCCAGTCTCCAACCCTGGTTATAGACTCTTGGGTTACTGTCAACTATGATGTAGACAGGAGTGGTCAGTGGGCACTTTGTGGAGGGGCTCCAGGACCCATTTCCAGGGAGAGCCGGCAAGCCAGCCAAGTTGTTATAATCTATGCTGTGTCATTCATTGGCTTGATCCCAGACAGCCCCTCTCTGCCTCCATTTACCCGGCTGGAAATAGTAAATAGAATTTGCCTTCAGGGTTGCGGTGAGATAAAATGGGAAAATACTTAGAAGGTTCCAAACACAAAGTCATATAAAAGGGCAGCTTCATGCGATCTCACTCACAGGTGATACCAATGTTTGAGAATGAGCTCCAAATTGCTACTCTGAGGTCAGAGGTCAATGCAGTGGGGCTGTTTGGGAGGAAGGCTCCTTGAGCCCTCTGGGATATTTCTGTGAACTTAATATACTGATTCTGTGTGAGGCTGGCCTTAGCTGGGCTAGTCCTCAGCCTTTAGGAGACAGGGCTGCCTGTGGATCCTTCTCCTCTGACTTAGACTGGTACATTTCCAATTCACAGAGGTTTCCTGTGCCTCCTCTGTCCCCTTGCATTTCCAGTGGGCCTTCCTCACCCTCGGCTTAAATCTTAGATGTCTAGCTAAGCCCCTTTAGAAGAGTTCCTGATCAAAAAGGCCCATGGCGGGTAGAAAGGTGATTGTCACCTGACAGTTTGACTCCTTTGTTGACTCTCATGATAACATCACCTGAGCCAACATAGTACATTCTTCAGACAAGAAGGTGGTTTAGGGGTTCTTATTGTAGGCTCAGAGTGGATCTCTTATGGCTAGTAGACTATGGCTGAGAGGCACAGGGGCCGAGAGGTGGGGGCCAGAATAGCAATGGGTAAGGCCATCTGTCACCACCAGTCATAAGGTTGTTGTGGGATATCACTTTAACTGGGCAAAGATGTGTTACATTTGTTTATGCTGCATTTGTTTAATGATGTCAGGATGTGTGTTTAATTATGTAAAGATGTGTTGCATCTGTTTCACCTTGCCTGACTGAAGCACCTGATTGATCTAATGATGAGCTGAACGGCCATAGCTAGGCAGAGTAAGGATAGGCAGGGCTGGCGGGCAGAGAGAGCAAATAGGAGAAATCTAGGCTTGAAGGAAGAACAAGAGAAGGAGAAGAGAACTGGAGAACAAGAGGGACAAACCTGGGGCAGAAGCCCACCAACTGCCTGCCAGCCAGACACGAGAAGCAGTGAAAGTAAGATATACAGAAGGAAAGAAAAGTGAAACTCCCTGAGGCAAAAAGATTAGAAGGAGAAACAGGTTAAGTTAAAAGAGCTAGCCAGAAAGAAGCCTAACCTAGGCCCAGAATTCCTAACTAATAAGTAGTCTGCATGTCATGAATTGAGGGCTGGTTGGTGCCCCAAAAGAAAGCCTGGTACATAAGGTCTCCAGCAATTGTCCTTCTTTTTATTCTTTTTTAACCCCTCCTCTCTCTCTCTCTCTCTCTCTCTCTCTCTCTCTCTCTCTCTGTGTGTGTGTGTGTGTAATGTGTGTGCATGTTCACTTGTGTAAGCAAGCACACTTGTGCAGGTCAGGAAATAAGCTCATATGTCCTTGCCTTCCAACTATTTTTGACAGTTTCTTTGTTGTTTGTTACCCTGTGTGCCAGACTAGCTGGTCTCCTAGCTTCTGGGGCTCCTCCTCTCTCTGCCCTTCATTTTGCCTAAGCAGTGCCCAGACTACAGATGTGCACGGCAGATGTGCCCAGATTTACATGCACTGTAGGGATTCAAACCCCAGTCTTCATGCTTGCACAGCAAGCCCCTTAGCCACTTAGGCATCTCCTTAGCATGCCCGTCCTGTCCCCATTAGTCCTTGAAGGAAACGTTACTGAGGTTCAGACTGAAAGGGGGATAATATGCCTCCACCCTGCCCTCTCATGAGTTAGAGCAGAGTAGTCAGGCTCTGCACAGGAAGCAGACTTTGGAAACCATGTCTTGACTAGAGCAGAAAATGGGGACCTAGCCAGAATGCTACCTCCACATGTCAGGGCCCATGCTGCTATGTGCCTTGGGCACAGAACAGGTCTCAGTAGATGTGGCAGGGACTGCCAGTTGTCACCCAGACCTACTCCTTAGGACAGAACTCCAGCTTTACTTAGGGCCACAGTGTACCCTGTTTCCATCGGAGCCAGACAGTGCCCTGTGATGAGGCTCTGGCCACAGGTAGATAGTGAGACTGTTGTATAGAACTTCAGGGAAGGGTGCCTGAGAGAGTGACTATAGGGGATAATTTTCCTGCCTCTGGACTTTAATCAGGTTGTGCAACCTGTCATTCTGGAAGCCACCTTGAATCTAGTGTGGCTTTCAGGACAGGGGATACGCTGGGAAGGTACAGCAGCAAGATGAAGTATGGATCGTGACTTTCTTTACGTGAAGAAATAGGCATGTGAAGTATCATTTAGAGGATTTCATCTTGCAAAATTATAGGAGTTGCCACAGGCCGGATTTTCACGTTGATACACTGAAGATCTCTTGTGTTGGTCTGGGAATATGGCTCCATGATTAAGAGAACCGACTGCTCTTCCCAGAGGACCTGGGTTCAATTCCCAGAACCCACATGCTGTATGACAACTATCTGTAATTCCAGTTCCAAGGGATCTTTTTTGGCCTCTAAGGACACTGTATGTAGGAGGTGCCCTAACAAACAGTCAAAACACTCATATGCATATTTTTTTTTTAATCTCAAAAAAACTACTTATGTGTTTTCACTGCCATGAGCATTTCCCTCCTGTTCCTACAGCTTCCTTGACCTCTAGAGAAGCCCCTCCTAGGTCTGAATCTTGACGACAACAGCATGTCATCCCATGGAGACACAAACATCTACATTAATTAAACATCTATATTAATTAAATCGTATACTTTAAAAAAGTGTTGTGCAGACAAACCTCACCCTGTACCAAGACAGCAGAAGTACAGAAATGAAGGCTAAAAGGTCATTGCTGCCTTAGAACAAAGGAGAGACTAGTGAAAGTGGCTTCAAAGAAGCTGGACACCTCAGCTAACCCAACAAGGATCAGGGACAGATGCCGTCACAGGCCACTCAGTTCCACTCACTCTGGACAGTGACTGTGGCTTTCATGAGACGCCTCTGATTTCTTCCCTTATCTTGCCGAAGGATCATGTATAATTTATGTTAAACTGTTCTTCTGGCTGCCACAAATATTTACAGGCACTGGGTGCATCCCAACAGCTGCATATATGGTTCATAGAAGTGGCAGCATTTCTCTGGGGGGGCATTTCTTTTTTGGCCTGGTTTTGTTGGTTTTTAAAAATATGCAATATTTTATAAATTCTTTAAGGATTCCGTACATGTATACAATGTACTTTGATCATAATAACCCTGATTCAGCCCCCCCAACTCCTCCCAAATCCATCCTACCATCCCACACTCACACCCCCAATCTTTGTCTCCTTTTTTTGCTTTTTTTATATAACCCATGGAGTCTAATTTATGCTTCCCCTACACTCATATGTATGAAGACATCCCCTGGAGTGTGGTTTACCTACTAAGTGTTATACCCTTAAAGAAAACTCGTCTTCCCTCCCCAGAAGCCACCAAATGCCAATAACCCCTCAGTTAGGGGTGGGAGCTCACAGGCCCCCTCCCCACTCTGTGTTAGCAGGTTGACTGGTTTGAACTTGTATAGGTCTTCTGGAGGCAACTACAGATGCTGTGAATTCATGAGTGCTGTGGCCCTAACATGTCCAGAAGAACACTGCTGTCAGGTCGTCCTTGACTTCTGGCTCTTACTATCTTTACAACCCCCTTCCTAAGTGATCTCTGAGAATTAAGAGGGAGGGGTTAATGTAGATGCTCCATTTGTGGCTGAGAACTCCATAAACTCCTCTTCTCTGCACTTTGACCAGTTGTGAGTTTCCTTGTTAACTGCCAAGCGGTCTGAGAGCTGCACTAATCTGCGAGTATAAAGATGTGAATTTGGAGGGAGCTGGGTATAGGCCCATTTAACAGTTTAATAGTGGCAGCTTCACCTCTGGGCCTGTGAGCTCCTCAGTCATGAGTCCTTGGCTAGATTCTTGGTATCAAGCATGTGCTTCCTCTGTAGAGTGGACCTTAAATCCAGATAGAAAGTGTTGTAATTTTTTTTTTTAAAGTGGCTCGAGAGAGAAAGATGCCATTTGATAGAATTCAAGAGGAGAGGTTTCTTATTAAGGGAAAAGGGGAAAGGCGAGGGGGGAGTCTGGCCTCTGGGGACAGGAACAGTGAGAGAGAAGGGAGAAGGGAGAGAGGGGAGAGGGAGGAAGATAGAGAAAGGAAGAGATAGAAAGAGGAACAGACAGAGAAAGGGAGAGAGAGAGAGGGACCGGAGGTGGGCAGGGCCCTTTTAAAAGTGAATAGGCACAGGTGGTGCTCTTAATGGCTGCAGCTGAGGACGCATCCTGTCAGAACCCCAAGGACGGGCCAGTGCAGATGCCTGAATATTAACAGAAAGATTAGTTACTCCATATCATTTGTACCATTGCACCCATGGGCAGGCATATCTTGCCATGCTGGTTTTTATTGTAGCTTACAGGATTCACAGTTGGGTAAGAATATTGGTGACCTGTAGCCTAAGCTCAAAGGAGCATGGGGCAATCCTTCCACCTTGGCCTCCTGAGCACTGGGATCACAGGTTAATGTCACCCATGCCTAGGCTCCCTTGGGGGTTCCAGGTCTGAACTTCCATAAAGGGACTAGTTGGGCACAAACTAGTTGGGGAAATGTAACTGGTTGTTCAGGGATGTCCTCAGTGAGTAGTTGATGTGCCATTCCTTGCTGGACCCCACAGATGTTTGGGGGCCTGTCTCAGCCATCTGCTTACATTGTATGTCCCTCTCTAGGTGCTGGTGTCAGAGAGGATGTGTTTCTCATTTGGAGAGAAATGGAAGAAGCTTGCAGCACACTGGCTCATGTCCGGAGGCTGGTGGACAAGTCTCCTCAGTCTAATGTATCCCCAGCAGACTACAGTAGGTGCTGTTTATGTAGTATGTGTGTCGTGCAAAAGAGTCAGTGATATTGGTGGCTGGGGACATAGGTGGGACAGTTGGAGTCCCATGCTTCTAAACAGGAGAACTCCTTAGTTCAGCTTGGAGTCATTGCCGGGGAGAGTCTCTGGAGCTGTGGGATTTGTGTACATGTGTGCACGTGTACGTGTGTGTGTGTGTGTGTGTGTGTGTGTGTGTGTGTGTAGATGTGTGTATACACATGCTTGTGCTTATCCCCAAAGAGGAATCAGAGCTGGATAGTAGTTAAGCTATAAAGGCAGGAAGAAGGAATCAAGATTTGGTAGAGGTCTGAGCTCAGTTCTGAACATAGCGCAGACATCCATAGTGAGGGGTAGCGGGGCTCTGTAAGTGGAAACTTCCTTAGAGGATATACGATGAATAAGGAGGCTTCTGTCTGGACTGACACAACAGGATTCTTGCTGAAGGCCGGATCAGATGTGGTGGGCATGAGGAATTCCACTGAAATATTGAACTTGATCTTTTATCCACTTGGGGGTGGGGATTCTGATTGTAGCATTATATTAAGATTTGTGCTAGCTCTGCAGAGCTGAACACGGAAGTCCAAAGATTGGGGATATTGAAAAGAAGATGCAAGAAGTACAACTCAAGCTTAGTCAGGGGGTAATCTTCCAAGAGGCATGTGGGGGTTTTCTTTGTTTTCAAGACAGGGTTTCTTCATGTCGCCCTGGCTTAAACTCACTCTGTAGACCAGACTGGTCTAAACTCACAGAGGTCTGCCTGCCTCTCCCTCCCAAGTGCTGGGATTAAAGGCATGTGCCACTTTACCTGGCGGGGCATGTGAGGCCTCAGGGATGGCCTTGCCTGCAGACTGAACGGCATACCACTGACTGGCAGGTTACCATCCACTCACCTTCACACAACCTCAAAGAAAGCTGCATTGGTTGCATTCGTTGTATCCTTATGGCCGCTGCTCTTCTTTGAGAAGCAGAAATTTGCTTGTTGAATTCGGATGCAGTTTGAAAGCGATAGGGTCTGTGAGGCTTTGTAGTGTATTGCCAGTATTAAAAAGAAGTCGCTGAAAGTACTTGCACTTCTCAGCCTTTAGAGAGTAGCAAGGACAACTGTTGTGTGACACTATTCCTGGGGAGACATGAGCAAATATCTATTCTCCCAAGTTAGGGAGCACATGACAGACCAAAGTAACAATACTAGCAAAACCCAACTTGGTGAATACATGAGTTTATTGGAATTACTTACAGGAATGGAGATAATCCAAAGGCAGTGCCTTGCTGAAGGTCCATACTGGCAATAGGTGACAACCCACGAAAGCCAGAACCAGTGGCTTTCTGAGCAGCTCTCTGCTCAACTTGCAGGCAGCTCTACAGATCTGAGAGCCTCCTCTAGGATGAGCTGTGGGTCTGAAATTCTGTAATGATCTATAAAACCTTTCATTTCAACCTAACATACACATATCCCCCAAAGAAAATAACTAAGCAGCCATTAAAAAATACCCAGGATGTACCATTTATATTCTAAGGGGAAATTTGATGATGATCATTCTTCCACTGGGTAGTCATCTAAGCTTTTGTCTGAATTTGACTCCAGCGTCTTCATGGAGAATGGCCGACTACCTGACTACCCCTTTCCTAGTCACAGCCCATGGTCAGTGAGGCAAAGACCCTGTGTCTGCTTTGTGGGAAGGCAGCAATCATTCCCTCAGTTTGACTGCTCAAGGCCTAACGGCTGAAAGAGGTAGCCATGGGGGACGGGGAAGGGGAAGGCTTGGATTGTCATTTGTGTCAACTGCAGATGAACTAGACAAAGGGTCTCTGGAGGTAGCTGTCCTCATATTCCTGTCACTGATTCACTCCCATACCCACCTCCCCCGGAGGGCCCGGTGGTCAGGGACCAGTCTGCACATGTCACCATGCTGGGGGCAATATCTATTTGAGGAGACTCATTATCAGCCCGATGCCTGGGATAAGAAGGCAGCAAAGCCCACACTGGGAGTTGACTTGTTTTAATCCCAAGAGAAGGACATAAAGTTCCTTAAGGAAAAAATAACTGACCCCACCCCAGATTTATACAAAATGATGTGAAGACAGTGGATACCAAGCAACAAGGGCAGTCAGTAATCAACAAGGCACAAGGCAGAAAGAAGATGCCACTGCTCTTCCCAGTTGATTGCCTCGTGAGGCCGTGGGGCATGGAGGAGGAAGCCAGGAGGAGCTTGTCAAAACTTGCTAAGTTTGCAGAGACCGAGCTTGGAGTCTGGAAGACACAGGCAGCTGCAGCTCACAGTGGAGCATGCCAGAAATGGGAAGAAACGCATACCCAAAACAGCATGTGTAGGCTCCTCCTTGAGAATCAGTTCACACACGGAAGAAAGGTGTCTGACAAGTGGGGGCTACTGGAAGGAATTGAAAGAAAATCAGATAATGCTCACACAGCCTCAGGATCAGAGTCAGAGGACCCTGAGCTTATGGGGGTGTGAAGACTACTTGGGAAGGTCTTAACTTCAATGGTCGGGAATGACGAGCCTCAAACAGAACACTGCTTTGGGCACTCCTCTGAAGCCATCAAAGTGAGACATGGAAAAAACAAAAACTGTTTCCAGGTAACATAACTACATCTCACAATAGAGCTCAGAGAGATTTACATGGCACAGAACTGTTAAGCACATACCAAGATCAAATTCACAATGACTGGCATTCAGTCAAAGACTATCATGCAGGAAAAGAAGCAAGAAAAGGTGACCTTTGAAGAGGAAAATATCAGTCAGTCAAAATGGACAGGGAGAGGCAGAATGACGTGGCAGCCAAGAGAGGTGTTCCGGTAAGGGTCCCCTGTGCTGGTTAGTTATACAAAGTAGAGTTACCTGAGGAGAGGTAACTTTAATTAAAGAATTGCCTCTATCATATTGGCCTATGGGCATGCCTGTGGTGCATTTTCTTAATTGATATAGGAGGATCCAGTCCACTGTGGGTGGTACTTTCCCTAAGCAGGTGGACCTGAGCTGTATAAGAAAGGTAACTGAGCCAGTGAGCCAGTAAGCAGTGTTTCTCTGTGGTCTCTGCTTCAGCTTCTACCTCCAGCTTCCAGTCTTGAGCCCCTGCCCTGTCTTCCATTGATAATGGACTACAATGTAGACATATAAGCCAAATAAATGCTTTCCTCCCCCAGATTGCTTTGATCAACGTTGTATCACAGCAGTAGCAAAGAAAGTTAGGCAACTGGCCCTTATCACTACTTCTTCAATTCTAAGTAGCCCAGCCTGAGTTACCTCCCGGATGGGTGGCAGGAGAGAGTTATGCCCGGGACTTAGACTTGAAACTCAGTACAGAGCTGCCGTGGTGAAACAGTAGTGGGGCAAAGCTATGTGATACCTACCATTAGGCCACTACCTGCAGAATGGGCAGCTGGACTGTGTTGGGCCACGTGACTGACTGCTTCCATCACTCCCACTTTAACCCTAGCTGAAGAGCAGGGAGTAAGACATAGCTCACCATGCGGAAGGGCTAGAAAATAAGCCCAAAAGATTTGTGATAGTGATCAATTGTAGGCTCGCTGCAGTAAGACCCAGCAGCTAGGAGAAACTGGAGGTGGGTCGAGCTCACGGATGGAGCCTCAGGAAGAGAAGAGACCTGTGTGCTCATGGGACAGACTCTAGTTTTAGCTATACCATATCTGGTTTGGGAGTAGGTTCGAGCACACCCCCTCCTGAGCCAGTGCAGATTCCTGTCACTATGAAAATTAGGTGCAGCCCACCTTACCATCACTGTTGATGGCCAAGGGACTGTCTCTATCATCCCCATCCTGCAACTTGGGTAGCACAACTACTACAGAGATAGAGGCACTAAACTGTTCTACCACCTGGTAGAGACTTGTGCCCCAACGTGATATACTTGAGTTTTGGGTTGCATCTCAGCCAGCTGTGTGGTAGGCCTCAGGTACCCAAGGCTGTGTGGGTACTTCCAGCTGTGAGACTCAGAGGAAGCTTAGATTAGCATATGCTAAGATGGTTAAGGGACTGCCTTCACCAACATCCCCCCAATCTGGAACAGCACGTCATCATGACCCAAGATCACATTTGATGTAAGACAATCAGAATCAAAAGACTTTCTGGAATTGAGTGCTCAACTGGTCAAACTGAATGCTAGGCATATTCTAATGGCCTCCATCCTAGATCTGCCAGTAGATGGGACCTCTGTGAAGTAGTTATAGTGTTAGAAGACAACACCACACTGGGACATGAATCACTGTCCCAGTTGGTATCGCTTATGGTGGTGGTGATGGTTGTAGATCAGAGACTCACAGAATCAGCTGGCAACCCATAGCCATGTAGGCCTGGGCTGTAGCCTAGTTGTTGGGCTGGTCTTGGCAGATTGTTGGCTTTTAGGGTGTACATAGGTTGGTGACATTAGTAGCCATAGTTGTGACTAGGGAGCCATAGCTTGAGACTGATCACACACTGTGACTATGTTCAGAGCCATACAGAATCCTTTGGTATCTGCCCTCGGGCTGGTGACTGTGAATGAGACATGTGGACCTTTCTAGGTCACAGGGAGTGGCTTGTGAGGACAGCCTACTCACTTGATGCACTGTCTTGGTTCTTTCTGAACAACACACCATCAGCGTATTCAAGAAATCTGGGCTTGGGTTGCCCTTTGTTCCTGAAACAGTGACCACATGCTGACAGCAGACTCATGGCTTATCTCTACCCGGGTGCCACCCAGTGCTGAATTAATGAAAGTGACCACATGATTTCATATGTCAGCATGCATCTAGTAGGTGTGACCAACCTTTTGACGTTGAGAATTGTTATTGTCATCTACAAGATTCATGCTCAAGGTGTTTTAAGTGTGTGTGTGTGTGTGTGTGTGTGTGTGTGTGTGTGTGTGTGTGTATGTTTTGGCTGCAAGTATGTCTATCCACCCTATGCATGTCTGGTGTCCATGGAGGCCAGAAGAGAACATTAGATTTCTTGGGACTGAAGTTAC